TATTAGAAATCAACTATAATTAATCAAATAAGAAAAATATAATGGAATTAGTGGTGATGGCTTTTTACAACTTTGTGAATTAAAAAAACACCCTCTGAATTGTACTCTTTAAAAAGGTGAACTGTATGGTATGTGAATTATATCAAAATGAAAAAAAAAGGCATTTATATCATAATTCTATTGGACAGAACTATTCAAACCAAATATTTGTTAAGTAAAGCAGAAAAGACCTCAAGTAGGGTGAAGATGAAGACTGAAGATGTGAATTGTGGACCATCCCTGCGTGCAGATAAACTTAAAAGGAGAGAATGTGGTAGGAATTTCTAATATTTATATAGGCAGGACTTTTGAAAAGGCATACTGTTAAGAGAAACATAATAGTTTAGCATTTTTTCATTCTTGTCATTTTTCCTTTAAATGAGAATCGATTTTTGTGTCATTTCAGAGATCCTTCTCCTGGCCCAAGGCCATATGGACATTTTTTAAACTTAAAGGCTCTATTGTCTTCATCTACATTTTAATCTACAATAAACTTGGAATTGATTTTTCCAAGAGTTTTAGAATTAGTTTATCCAGGTTCACAGGCTAATTTCAATCCAGAACTCACATGAAAAATCCCTACATAAACATAAGACAACCAAATCCAACAATACACAAAGCTACTTAATACGTCATGATCAAGTTGGATTTATTCCAAGAATCCCATTGTAATTCATTTCAAAGTCAATCACTGATGTCATATTAGCATACTAATGAAGGTAAAATACGAGTTAACTAAGAATTTTTCATGTTTCTAAGAAATGCTAAGAAATATCCTAAATTACAAAATTCCTCTTCACACTGGAAGTAGAGAGCTTGTCTGATTATGACTCATATATAGGGTTACAAATATACACACATTAAAAAAAAAAAACCCAACCTAAACATCTTATGCATGGCTAAAAATAGCATAAGCTATGCAAAAACACCACTGATAAAATGGGAAAGACATCTGCAATTTACTCCCCCAAAGTGTTAATATCTTTAACATATAGAGAGCTTCTAAAAAGAGAAACAAAGTCTAACATTCCAAAAAAATTTTAAAAGGCTAGAGATATTGACAATTGATAGAATATTGACATGAAAAGATGCTCATCGCCACGTAAGATAAATTAGAATTGTAAATGAAGCATTACAGCACTATTTCTAATCCGAAAAGACTAGAACAACCCAATTGCCCATCACTAGAGGTCCAGTTGAATGAACTTTGATGGATCCACTTAAGAAAGTATATCTTAAACTCAATAAAGCCAAAGACTATGAAGCTGAGTCAAGAAAGTCAGGAACCAATCTTAAAGGCACTCCCATCAGCCAAAAATTGAATAATGTGAGCATCAAAGAGAATAAAAGCTACAACACATCCTCTATGATAAAATCCATGACTTCATAATGATACCAGAAAAATTACTGATTTTGGCACATACTAAAGATTCAATTCATTATGCTAGATATTGATAAATATAAAAAAGAAATCAAAACCTTAACCTGCCTTTTATAAAAGTACATCTTAGAGTAATCAAATGATAAAGAAAATTTCCTCTTTATAGGAGTACTCCTGCTAATAAATAAGGAGTACTGAATTAAAATATCACAGATTTGGAAATAATTAACAAAACAATACATCTAGAGAACAATCAATAGCTGCCAACATCACAAAGGACACCAACCAATAAGTCTCTGGCAGGAGTACAAAACACCTCCAATGCAATATTTTAAAAAAATCTCAAGGGCATCAGAACAGCATACAGAGATTAACTAACATTTTACAGGAAATGCAGAGGACAGAGACTCAAACAGCTCCATGGAAATGCAGTCAGAAAAACCCAGAGTGTGAGAAAAGAATTCTACATGACACAAAACCTGAATTCTGCATAAGAAGAAACTTTAATAGAAAACCTTTAGACCATCACTGTCTAATAAGGGAGCCTCTTGTCACAATTGAAATGTGGCTGGTGCAAATTGAGATGTGCTATAAAATAAGCACACATTGGATTCTGAAAGCTTAGTTCAGGAAAAAAGCATGAAAATTTATTACATGATGAAGTGATATTTTGGATCTATTTAAGGTATATATATCACATTAAACTAAATTACTAAAGTGAACTGTATGTTTCTTTTCATCAGAAAATGTTAAATTATGTGACTTGCATTGTATTTCTATCGGACAGTGTTGCTCTAGCTTAAAATAGAGAGGGAACTTCCCTGGTGGTCCAGTGGCTAAGACATGGTGCTACCAATGCAGGGGGACCAGGTTTCATCACTGGTCAGAGAACTAGATCCTGCATGCAGCACCCCAGCACAGCCATATAAATAATTTAAAAAAACAAACACACATTAAAAAAAAAAAACCACATAACTCAAGAGATATTTATCTATCAAATATATAATGAACTTGTTTGGATCCCAAATCAAACCAACCAGCTATATAAAAATATTACACAATCAGGTACATGTGAACACTGAGTATTAGATGATATCAAGGAATTATTATTTTTTAGGTGTGATAATGGTATTGTGATAATGGTATTTAAAATATGGTTATATTTTAAAAGTCTTTAGAAATACAAAATTATGAATAAAAATCTTACTATGCCTGGGATTTGTTGTAAAATAAGCCAGGCTGGTCTTGGATGAGCCTGGCTCTCCCTCTGCCCCGTTTTTTGTCTTCCTCAAGAACCTTTGTGGCAGCTAATTAGGGGCAGGGGCCGTGGTAGAGGACTGAAGCCTCAGGCAGACCTGCGTCCCAGTCCCACCTATATCCCTAAGACACATCTGTATGATGAGCACACAGTAATACCTCCCTGCAAACTGGTCATGAGCATGCGATCAGAAAATGTGGAAAAACACCTAGTTCTGTGTGTGGATCCAGTTAAGGGTCACTTAATGTGTTTCTACAAACAATCTGAGTACCAGAGCTCAGATTGGAGAGGCAGGTTGGTGGTATAGTCAGCTCTGTGGAAGGTGGCCCCCTCCATTTCTGTAGTCTCTCCAGGCACCGACACCAAAGAGCACACACCCCTTCTCTCCACACTCTCCCTCAGTTTCGGCCACAACAAGGACTAACTCTCCTCAAATCAACTCACATTTTCAGTTATTTTATGTTTAAAGGGAGCTCTGTAACAATAGTACTCAAGTGAAAACCAGTCATTTGCCAGTTAAAAAAGCAACAAAAAGCAAATAATACAAAAAGAACGTTACTAAAATAAACGTTAAAAAACAGACACCATAAAACGGAAATAAAAAACCGAATCAACTTACAGAGAACGCACACAGGAAGATGAGATCCCCCAAGGCAAAGGATGAACCTGCTAAACGCCAGTAACAAAGCGATCTCTCTCAATATTCATTAAGCGCAGAAGTTACTTTAAAATGAAAAAAAAAAAAAAAAAGCCTAAAAGTTAGCACTGAAAACTTCACTTTTCACTGATAGTCCCTAATAGGTTTTTATCTGACTGTAAAAGCCGAAACTATTTTCATTTTTACTAGAAATTCAGAAACAGTCGACTTTAAAACACGTGACTGAAATACTGACAATTATAGTAAAATGGCTTTTTTAAAAGATTTGCCGCCTTCAACCCTTCGAGTTCCACGAGGGTCGGAACACGCCAGGCCCGCCCCCAAACCCCGGCCGCCTGGGCCCCTCCCCCTCCCAGCCGGCGGTTCCCGGAAGCCACCGCGGCCGCACTGCCCCGCTCAGGGTATGGCCGCTCTCCCGCCGAGCACCCGGCCACAGTGGCAGACAGGCGCTCTCCCCCAACAACGTCGAAAACAGTTGTGAAGCACGGTGGTTCGTCTTAGGACCTCCAGGGGAAGAAAACTGCCAAAGGCGTCCCAAGGGACGCGGGACTCGCTGGTGCCCGGCGAAGTGGGGGGTGGGGTGGGGCGGCTCTCCAGGGCCTGGGGTTATTTGTTGGGAACCTCTGAGAGCCCATTTAGAGTACATATTAAAGGGGAGAGTCCTACGGCCCCTCCAACCGTTCAGGTAAAAGTCCCGGGTCCAAGGCCAGTCGGGTCCCCGTGACTCGCGAAGCCTCCCCCGGGCCGCCCGGCGCCGCCTTCCGTGAGCCACGCGGGAACAGGGAGGTGGAGGCGCAGCGCTACCAGCGTCCAGAAGTTTCTTGGGCGCAGGCAAGAACGGGCAGAAAGTACATTCAAAGATAAAAGTAGTTCAGGACAAGAAAACAGAAACAGCCAAATTTAAGATAGCTCAGTAGAAGTGTGGTCACCAGGCCAAGACAATGAGAACCAGAATTTCAACCAAAATACAGGAAGGATACCTCCGACAGCAGGAGACGAATGAAGATGGGGCTCAAAGAACACACACCGCACGGAGAGAAAGAAAAGGCCGCAACGCTCGAAAGCGGAGGCTCGGCAAGCGGGAACGTGGGAGGGGGAGGAGTCAGGTCCAAACCAGTCTAGTTCAATTCGTGGACGCGTTCAGCCACGTGCAAGTACCGCTTTCACTTTAAAATGACCCTCCTCGAGCGGTGGCCTGGTCTTCCCACCCTACTCCTGCCAGAGGCGCTAGGGCTCTGCTTCCTCTGGAGTCCGCATTAAACTCTCCTTACCCATCCCTGCCTCCCCAAGCCCAAACCTCAGACCCGCCGTCTAGTGCCGGAATATAAGGCCCCTGACCTCAAATCCACCTCCCTCGAGCCCAAATCTCAATCCCGCGGTCCCCACCCTCAGTGGGCCGGGTCCCCTTTCAGTACCCTGTCGGTCCCTGAATACACGGCCCCTGACCTCAGATTCCACTTCCTCCAACTCCAAACCTCAGCCCCGCGGTCCCAACTCCCCCCGTAGGCCCAGACCCCAATCGGTTCCGGGTGTGAGGGCCTTCACCCCAGCTCCCGCCTCCGCTGACCCCCAAATCTCAGTCCCTCGGCCCTCAATGCCAAGTGCCAAGTTCCCAGCCGGTCCCTGGTATGCTAGCCTCGGACACCGCCTGTCCCACCCCTCACCTCGGGCTCCGAGTCTCCACGCCCCCGCTTTTCTTCGCATCCGGCACCTTGGTCGTCCCTCTAAGCACCTAGAGGAGGGTGGAATGCCAGGGACTTGGCAGTTGTGGCTGAGGCAGTTGAGGCTTGTTTACCATCACCATGGAAACCCCTGGCAGCGCGCCCCGAGAGGGGGCCCCGAGGGGCGGGTTCAGGCACGCGGCAGGCCCGAGTCCACAACCCCCGCCCGTTGTGCGCACTTGGCGCTTCCGGAAGCCCTAAAGCTCTCGGAGTGCCCTACCCCTCCTCGGCCCCACGCCCAAGCACCCAGGAACAGGAGCCCCAGTAACTCACACCCCCGCCCCGCTCCCGGCTCCCGGCGTAAAAGCTGACCGGTTTCCCCGCACAATCCCACCTGCTTCTCCAACAAGACGCGGCGCAGTCCCACTTCCAAGACGGAGCCGGAAAGACGCAAAGACCGCGGAGGGGCGGGGTCTCCAAGGCGGGCGTCCGGGGGCGGAGCCGCAGGGGCGCCATTGTGATGCTTCCGGAGCGGAGCCGGGGATTGGACGGCTAGTAATAGGGCGGGGCAGGGGCGTGCGGAGCCGGGGCGCGCAGAGTAGGGACGCTGCTGGGAGGGGGGTGACGGGATCGGGGCGAGTTTTCCAGGGTGGTTAATGGGGCCCTTTTGAGCCGCAATAGATACTGACTGGGAGAGTACCCCACATATTGAGCCCAAAGGACGTCTGGATTGAAGGCCAGGGCAAAAGAAGGAAACAGTTATTTCCTGCTGAGAATGAAGGAGAGGGAACCGAGAACACCGGAAACCGATAAAGGCGGCTCCGAGGGCTGGGTTTAGAGAGGGATTAGCAAATTGACCTGGGGTTGCTCAAGTGATTATCTCTTAGGCTGAGAAGTCCCAAGGTTGTTAAAGGTGGCCCTCAGGACCCCGTGGCAAATTAGTTTTCAGTCAGAGCCCCTGAGCAGACTGGCAAGACAGTAACTGAAATGGCTACCCTGCCTGAGGCAGTGGAGTAGATTCTTTAATTTATTCTGGGGTTAATAATCATTATCATTTGATTTTTGGAGCTTCCATTAAGAGGAAGATATAAAGGCACTCATCACTGCTTAAGTAGAAGGTTATTTTAAAAACCACCAGTTAATAAGGGGGTGCTTGGAGTAGGGTCAGATTATGAGTGACAGTGAAGTGTTAGTTGCTCAGTCTTGTCCAACTCTTTGCGACCCTGTGGACCTTAGCCCGCCAGGATCTTCTGTCCCTGGAATTCTCCAGGCAAGAATACTGTAGTGGGTTGCCATTATGAGTAGTTACTATAGAAAAGGAAGAAGCACAGTTTGTCACCAGAGTTTGATTATAAGGGGAAAAGAAAAGTAAAAGCAAGAGGAGTTGAAAATTAAGAGAAAACTGATGAGGCACAATTACAGAAAACAGGTTCTTCAAAGAAGTTATTTGTAAGAAATCCAATGACTCCATCACAGGTCAGGCTATAGAAAAGTCTGACTCCGGAGAGAAAATACAAGTAGCTAATCTGAGGCAAATATTCAAATTATACAAAAAAAAAAAGCTTCAGAATTTAGAGATTGAAATCAGGTCCAATAAGACATGTTCCTACAAAGCACTAAGCAGGCCTCTGAGTCATGGGGGCTTTCTGATCCCCTCATCAAGTTTGACAGTTCTCCAGCATTCATCCATGATGCAGTAATCTTTGAGGCCTTCTGTAAATGAAAGACTGGGGCCTTGGCCTGATGCTGAGCCTCCCCTGCTCGTCGGGAGTCATCACAGGTGTCCACTATGAAATCTTTTGCAGATGAGCACCAGCACAGTCATGTGTGGATTTTCTTCCACAGAAAGCTCAGACTGGTGCCACAGATCCCAGACCTTTTCAACAGATGTACATCTCATCTCACTAACTGGAAGATGCTTGCCCACAGCTAGTCTACATGGACTACCTCCTCAGCTGTGGGGCCTTAGAGGCCTCCACCTTTTCTTTTCATATCTGTGTCCACAAAAGTGTTTCACCCAGGCTCTGAAATCAAAACACATCTTTTTTGATTCTTGAGACTGTCTGCACAAGTGCACCTCTACCATCTGATTTATAAACAGTTGAATTCACCACAAATGAAAATCACCCCAAGACGTATCCTCTTACAGATAGACCTGCCTGTTTACTTCCTGTTGTTTATGTAAGTAGATTATCACAAATTTAATACCTTTTAATAAGTATTTTATTTTGAATTTTAAAAATAAGCTCATGTCTGGAAACTACTAGCACATAGTATAGAGTTTTGTCTAGAATTTTCCAGTTGGTACCCCTTGAAAGAACACTTTACCCATTAAACTTTACACCTCTCACCCCTTCTTTCCCAGGAGAGCATCTGTATAGGCAGGATCACAGAGATTCAGAGAAAGTTCTTACTCACAATCACATTATCTGTCAAATGGCAGTGGTGATAACAACAGTGAACCTGTATTGCATCTTTGGGCTTCCCAGGTGGCGATAGTGGTGAGGAACCCACCTGTCAATGGAGTTAGATGCCTGAGACAAGGGTTTGATCCCTGGGTCAGGAAGATCCCCTGGAGGAGGGCATGGCAACCCACTCCATTACTCTTGCCTGGAGAATCCCATGGACAGAGAAGCCTGGCTGGTGGGCTACAGTCCATAGGATCACAAACAGTTGGACATGACTGAAGAGTCTTTGCAAGCATGTATTGCACCCTCACTGTGCTTTCCACTGTTTTGAGTACTTAATCTCATTTAAGCATCATAGCAACCCACCAAGATGTTACTATAACTACTTAGTAGAAGGAAACTGAGGTATAGAATTGTTAGGTGACTTTCCTAAAATTACTCGGCTTGTAGAAAGCAGGTCTGGGCATTGCGCTAAGGCACTTTGGTTTCAGAGTGCAGTGCTAAGACACTCTGGTTTCACAGTCTGCACTCTTTTAAGTACTGCACTCTCAAGCCAGTGAGAGATAGGTCCTTCTAGGTTAGTTCCCAAGTGCCTACTCTGCCTCCCTTTCCCATGTGAAGGAAGAAAAGAATGAAATAAAGTATTGAACTGCCCAGCCACAGTATAGGTCCAGTCCAAATGGAATGTTTCTCATTGAGGCCAGGTACTGTAGTAGCCAGAGATGAAGGATAAGATAACCCAGGTGGGACACCAGCAGGCTCAGCGGTCACAGCCTTGTCTGGTTAATTTTTTTGACCAACATAGGAAAAAATGAATCTTTCAAGTGGCAGTACCACCACAGAAGACTGGATCCCTCGGTTATTTGCAGTTCTTTGGGGATAGTTTACAGTTCTTTCAAACAGCACTTTGTGTTAAATAGTAAAATAGGGGTTATGGCACCCCATGAGCTTGATGGTTACTTGCTTGAATTGGTTTTTTTGTCTCACCAGAGACTGCAGTGGGGTTGTGTGGTCCTGGGCAGTGCTGTGTGGCTGCCCTTACTTTGTTTCCACAGCAGGCCTGGCCATCAACAAAGCCTGACTTAAGCTGGGCCTAGTTCTGTCGCCATTCTGTGTTGTCACCCTTTAGCCTCCATGGTCTTTTCCCCACCCTAAAATATGTACAGTTAGACTCTTTCACTTCTGTGGGGCCTCAGGAGTCAGAAAACCTCATCTGTGTCAAGATGTGCTATTATCTGCCAATTAGATCTCAATATAACTAGAAAAAAAATTTGCTGGATATAGGGCAGCTTGCAGCTTTTCTCTTTCTCTCTCAGTAACCTCCACTTTTTAGAAATTATGGAATATTTAAAACACAGAAAATTACAGGTATTGTAAAAATCTAAGAGATTTTGGCATACTACTTCTTTTCATTGTTTTTTGCACCAAAAATTACAGAAAAACCAGTGTCTGAGATGCTTTTCAAAAAGTAATTACTCTAAAAAGCAATTACTAGAATACAATTTTTGGATGATGACATATTTCAAAATTTGAGAAAAAATTTGAAGATAATATGTACATACAGTCAGTTGGGAATATTGAATCTTTGAAAGCAGAAAGGTAACAAAATATGTATTCCATTTGCGTAAAAAAATTTTTTTAAGAATATTGCTTCCTATAGTATAGTTTGTGTGGGTGTGCATGCTCAGACCTGTTTGACTTTTTTCAACCCTCTGGACTGTTGCCAGCCAGGCTCCTCTGTCCATTGGATTCTCCAGGCAAGAATACTGGAGTGAATTGCCATTTCCTTCTCCAGGGGCTTTTCCCAACCCAGGGATCAAATCTGAGTCTCCTTTTGTCTCCTTCATTGGCAGGCACATTCTTTACCACTGAGCCACCTGGGAAGCCCAGTCTGGGTGGGTAGGTGTATGCTATCTTGATCCAGTTTGGAGGTCCTAGCTAGAAGCTAGTCAGTTCCTCTTCTTAAACGGTGGATTAAGTCCATATCACCAAACACCACTCTTATCAGGCCCTCACACTCTGGGACCAACATATGCTCACCCTAATTGCCCTGGGACCAGATATCAGAGGAGGGACAGTCCCTGTGCCTAAGAACCTGCTGAAATTATTCAAATTAGGCAACCCCACACCCGTTTGCTCTCTTTCCTTCCTGCAAAACCACAATAAAAGTCCTTGCCCACACTTCCCCTTTGCTCTTCAGTGTGACTGACCTAGTGTTTCCCCTAAGTAGCCCTGGGTGGCATGCTGTGCTCTCCCCCAGGAGCTGTGAGTACAAAACACTCTAAAATTCTTTCCGGTTTTTCTCTCTTGATCTGCATCTGACTTGGTGATACCCGAGCCGAGATAATATGGCTAAAACAATTCCTTCCCACTGCAGCTTCTAGTTCAAAACTATCATGACTGGATAAGTGGAAAGCAGCCTGGCAGTAAGTTCCGTGCATCCATACTAGCTGCTTCTGGGGTGCAGACTCCTGTCTCTGGTTCTTCATAGCAGAGTTTGTGCTCCCCATGGGCCAATGAGCCAGGAGGCCAGGGTTGGCCAGCGATTTTTGAGTCTCAATTCATCAATTCATATGGCAAAGAAGTGACAAGACAGAAGTGTGGGCCCAGGCCATATGGGTTGCAGTCCTCCTTTTGAGAGTTCACTACATGCTAAGAATTTTCTTTCTCTTAAAAAAAAAAAAAATTATTTACTTGGCTGCCCTCTATCTTAGCTGTGGCGTGTGGAATCTAGTTCCCTGACCAGGAATGGAATCTGGGCCCCCTGCATTGGGAGAGTGCAAAGCCTTAGCCACTGGACCACCAGGAATGTCCCTAAGCATTTTCATTACCTATGTTTTTATCAGAAGTTCTCTATCACTTGGGATTTATTAAGCAGCAATGTGTCCTAACATTTTCATTTTGACCATTTCATTTATTAAAAATAAGTTCCCAGTTTTATCCTGGAAAATTAGAATAAATTTGAGATCTTTATCCTCATAATAGGAGTGCTTAACAATGTTGACTTTGAAAGTTTCTGAACTACAACAGACAAAAAAGGGGTATTAGAGTTTATAAGTTAAGAGTCAGTTAAAGCGGTTTGGTGTATAGGTGGTAATGAGAGACAGA